CGTCCAGATTAAATTACTAGCAAATTAAAAATAACGATGTGAAAGTCTGTCTCTAAATTAAAAAAAAATTTCTGAAAACAGTTTAAGAGTTGATAATAACCTGCTCTCCTGGTTTACGTAATACACTTGAAAAGATGATGTTTGCAATGAAGAGAGTGGAGAATATACTTTTAGTCATAAATTTAATTTATTTAGCTAGTTGATTAGTACAAGTTGTACAGAATGATGACTAACATAGCCAGACACTTTATTTCTGTTACACAGTTGACCTTTATTTTTGATGAGATAGTCTAGATGTAACTTCAGTTTTGGCAGTTTATTCATCAATTGCATTACATAAAAGTTATTGTGTGAGTGATGCAATCACTGCTAGCCGTTAATTGATGAGTACACCTTACAAAAAACCACGTGAGGCTTGAGTCTACAAGACATTCTGATACAAGGTTGAATCTAGTTAACATTATATGAAAAAAGGTGGTAAAGTTAAGGCTAAGCATAAGTGAACCCAAATGATAAAAAGGAATATTGTCATGAGATCTCCACCATGAAGTGAATGTATCTTCACCTCACCAAACTTAAATTTCGATAAGGTTAATAAATGAAAATATGGATGGGAGACTAAGAAATGTTATTTAGATTTTTTTAAAATTCGGATATATCCCTATGATTGTTCCTATTAGAAGATAGTCGGTAGGCCCATTCAGTGGATAGATTTAGAACAAAATTACTTTAAGTGGACAAGCAAGCAGGTTCAAACCGGGCGACCATTTCATTGGTCTCCTAAACCATCTTCTAAGTAGAACTGCTTTGGAAAGGGTGGCAATTTTTAAACCTCTCGTTTAGCAGTTTGTGTATAGATATTCTTATCAACTGACATCACTGTATTGACTTATTCGCCTGTCTTAGTTATAAAAAATTATGGTGAAACTACAATACATCATATTTGTTTATTTTAAGCTTCCATGAATCTCAGTAAATTGCGTCGGTAGCACAGCGGTTAGGACGCTCGCCGACCGTGCTCATGGTCCGGGGTTCGATTCCCGGCCACAGACGCACTCCTTTACCTCGCTAAGCCAGAAATAATGCTGGTGAAGAGGAAAGGTTTGGCATGAGGCTAGCAATCCCATCCTGTAAAAATAAACACCACTGCAACAGAAACTTCAAGCCACTAGCTTGAAGCCCTATGTTCCACTGGGAACGTAAAGGAAGAAATTAAATTATCATTAAAATCTCAGTAAATTACCTTTATTATGAATAATCCCATACATATATGCAAAATACGATCTATCGGTTTTCAGACACCGGATTCACTACTCAAAAACTCTAGTAGCAAAAACTGATTGCAGCCACTTGGTTTGTTCTATTGTCACCTTGATTACAAAATAGATATCTGCTATTTGATAGCTACAGGTAAAATAATAATTTTCAAAAGAATGGATACTGAACAAACAATACTCTTTTCGATAACTTCATCATCAGGCTCAACAATTATATATACATTATAGTGAATGAATAAATTAGTGTTATGAGCAACATTAAAGGTTAAATAGCATCGAATCAATAATATTGATAGATCACAGCTCAATAGCATCAGCATAAAATAAGCTGAATGTCAGAAAAATTAAGAAAGATAATATTACAAATTCATGAATTTATATTCTCTACTGAAGGTCAAGGCAGTAAGTAGTAGGGACTGGACTTACTTCTTTTGAACACAGAGCACTGGTTGTTTGAGGCGAATTGCAATAGCCTCTGCTGTTTGGAGCATGCGGTGCTTCGATGATTTTGGCAATTTATTAGGCACCCGGTAGATTATAGAGAAGGATTCTTCGACGCTAGCTTTGTGGCTGGTTTGTACCAGGTGGTCCAGTGTCGAACTGTTAATGGTTTTAACTACATTTTTACTTAGCCGTAGTGGGATATGTTCTCGAGCACGAAAAATCAAGTTCCTAGGGAACAGCCAATATAACTCGCCCCACAAGCGCAGTTGAATTGGTAGATACAATTTGAAGTGGCTAGTCTAGGTACTTCATAATAATTTTAGAGGAGAAAATACTCTATGAGACGACTTCATTCAAATATATGTACTATCATCTTGTTTAAATATTGCCTGCATGCATTGTTACAAGTTTGGCAGTAAGTGGTGATACGATGGTAGAGACTATTATAAATCAAAAGTCAGTATGTCTAAGCAAAGGTCAAAGGGATGTACACCAGGCATCTGAGTAACTGACTAAGCGCTCCATTGGAAGATTAAGTAGATTTGTCGATGAAAAATGTGAATATCTGTATTTGTCGGGTAAAATGCAAAATAAAACAGAAAACATCAGGAATCAGGTAATTTATGGAATTTTCTGTCATAAAACGTTTTCGAATTGGTCTTTTTACTCAAAAGTAAGACATTGTCAACTTTTTGCTGTTTGATTTATTTAATTTTTCTTCTTAATTCACAATCAAGTGGTTTAGACCGTTGCCAAATTATTTTCTCTCTTATGTAAAGCACTTCACTTATCTATCCTCTTACTCAAACCTTTATCTGTTACTTTTTCTCTTTACTCGAGAACTCTTCGCTTAATGATGTATAAATTGTGCTGATTTCATAATGTTTTATTCACTTCATTGATATACTGGAATTTCCAGGTATTTATTCTTTCTTTCACATATTATTATTGATTGAATTGTCTCAGTAATTTTGGGAATTTTAAGCTTTTTTCATCTAACGATGAGCTGTGTAGTGAAATACAAATATATTTTGTATTCTTTGTATACTCAAAAGTAATTGATTTCACCTTGTTCAATTCTATCATCTGGATGAATTATAGAAATCACTCTTCCAGTGGAATCAACAGGCTAAGGAACTGACCAGTACAAGCCACTTCGACTGACTGAAGTATAGTACCAAAGGAGAAGTTAAAGAATAGCCATCCATGTGAACGAACACACTGATGGTTTTCAAAGGAGCAATCAAATAAAAATGGTGAAACCAGATGAAAGACAACATTTTCGTAAAGTGTTGGAAAAGGGTTAAAAGAAACCCAACACGATATTTTTATGTATACTTTTCTTTCTTTACTATGGATGTTTTACTCCGTTTCTCTTATTCCGCCCGAATTTGCCGAGTTAATGTCTGAAGGTCCCCTTGGACCACTATTCTTTAACTTACTCAGATCTAGAATTTTAGACGGATTAAGTATTTGGAAGGATTCTGATATCAATTTTTTTCTTACATATCTATTTTTACTTCAGGTCTTATCCTCCTTTTATTTATCTAAAAAAAACACAACCGGGGTTATTACTTCTCTTAAGCTCACTGCTTGTTATTTCTCTGAAGTTATATTTACTTGTGAAGAAGCAAACTGCCGATACAACAAGACAGTTCTTTTAAGTCTGTTGAAACCAAATTATTTTGGTTGTTCTTTTGTAATTTTCAGGACATTTACACGTGAATGATCAAAACATAACAACACAAATATACTTTTTTTCAAATTTACTTCATAAAAACACAGGAACAGTACTCAGTAGGCTAATGGTAATCATGATAGAGAAATAAACGAAAATTATTTGATCTTTCAAAAGGACAACTTGTTATGGAGAGAAGTTTGTCTGCTACACAGAACAAGAAAATATTGCCTTCTGCTACATTAATCTTTCAGGGTTTTATGTCTAAAAACCACACGAGTCCGATACCCATACGAACCAACCTAACCTGACTATCAGTGGATATTATTATTATTGTATCCTTTAGTTCCTAGAGGAACATAGGGCTTCAGCTGCGCACCTCCATTGCCTTCTATTTTCTGCCAACTTTTTCACCTCGCTCCAGGTCTGTCCACATGCTTTCATCTACTGCTCGCATGACCCCCTCCAAGTCACCCTTGGACGACCAACTCGCCGCCTCCCTTTCGGGTTCCACTTGAGCAATGGCTTGTCTAGTGATGTCACTTGATGGTTTCCTCAGAGTATGGCCAATCCATCTCCATTTCTTCCTGACTATTTGTTTCACAATCGGTTCCTCCTACATTGGTTCGCTCATTGCCAGAGTTCCCTGTTGCTGATCTTTTCTGACTGGCTATCTGATCTTGAGTATTGAGCGAAGACAGCTGTTGATGAAGGTCTGTAGTTTGTTTAATGTGCTCTTTATGACGCGCTGGCCAAGTCTCTGATCCGTATGTTAAGTAGCACTGACTTCACATTGGAGTTGAAAATCCGGACCTTATTTTTGATGCTGAGTGCTGTTGACCTCCACACAGATTTGAGAGTAATGCAAGCTTGTCTTGCTTTTCCGATTCTGGCTTTGAAATCCTCGTCAGTTCCGCCTGTAGTTGAAACGATGCTTCCCATGTCGGTAGGTAAAGGAGGTCGTTTCTTTCAGGTTCCTCCTATTTATGCTGATTGTTGTCTGTTGCTGTTGTTGCTGTTGATGTTGGCTAGGAATCTTCATCACCTCTGTTTTATCTATGTTCACTTGAAGTCCTATCTTTGATGCTTCTTCTGCCAACTTGTTGCTTTTCACTTGCATATCTTCCAGTTTGTGGGAAATCAGACAGATATCACCGGCGAAGTCCAGATCCTCCAAGTGTTTTGTGTGGATCCATTTTATGCCTGTTTCCTCGCTGCCCACTCTCTGTCACACTATACAATCTACTGCATGCAGGAAAATCATTGGCGATAGTAGGCAGCCTTCTATTACTCTCGCCTTTACTTCGAAGGATTCCGTGAGTTTCCCATTGTGGATTACTTGGCATGCAGCATTGTCGTATAACTGTTGGATGAGATGTATAATTGTCGATGGGACCCCGTAGTAGCGAAGTAGTTGCCAAATGACCTCTCGATCGACGCTGTCGAAGGCCTTTTCAAAGTCGATGAAGTTGAGATAGAGAGGTGACTGCCATTCCAAGCTTTGTTCAATGATGATCCGTAGAGTGGCGATTTGATCAATACATGACTTGTTTCTCCTGAATTTAGCCTGTTCCGGTCGAAGTTTTTCATCCAGGTTGGCTTGTTTGATTCTCTCCAGGATGATGCGGCTTAGTATTTTGCTTGGAATGGACAGGAGCATAATTCCGCGCCAGTTTTTGCATTGACTTAAGTCTCCTTTCTTTGGTAGTTTGAATAAGTATCCTTTCTTCCAATCCTCGGGTACTTTGCCCTCTTTCCACACCTTCTCCAGTAATGGCGTCATCAAGTCCGCTGTTGTCTCTGGGTCCATTTTCAATGCTTCTGCTGGGATTCCATCTGGTCCTGGTGCTTTCCCAGCTTTTAGCATCTTGATTGCATTCAGGACTTCTGATTTCGTCGGGGGGTCAATGTTCACTGGTAGTTCTGCTTCCGTTGTTGGTGTTATTGGGCGCGTTGTAGGTGGCGGACGATTTAGAAGTCTTTTGAAGTGTTCAATCCAGTGTTTTCTTTGCTCCACTTCTTTGGTGATTGACTTTCCATTGTCATCCTTTATTGGCTTAATCTGTGTCGAACTTTTGCCCGATAGGTTCCTAGTTGTTTGGTAGAGTGTGGCGAGGTCTCCTTTGCCTGCAGCTTGTTCTGCTTCGTTTGCCATGGTTTCATAATATTTTCTTTTGTCTTCCCTGGCACTCTTCTTCACTCTTTTGTTCAGTGTATTGTAGCTTGCATTCAGCTCCTGTTTTTGTTGCTCGTCAGTGCACTGGATAATCTTTTGTTTCACTGTCCTTCTCTCTTCTATTAGTTTCCAAGTGTCCGTAGTGAGCCACTGTTTGTCCTGTCTCTTTTTCTGCCTAGAACTTCCATGCAGGTTTGACTCCACACCGTTTTCAAGTTGTCCCAGTGCTTTTCGACGCTGACCTTTTCGCTGGTGTTGATTTGTGTCTCGGCTTTTTTTCTTATGCTTGCAATGAAGATGTCCTTTGTAGCCTGGTCCTTCAGCTTTTGAGTGTTGAACTTGGCTTGTGGTCTATCTGCAGCTCCTGATTCCCTGAAAGCTTTTAATTTGATTTGGATTGTCCCTTGTACGAGATAGTGGTCTGAGCCAACGTCTGCTCCTCTTCTTGCTTTTGTGTCCAGTAGGCTGCGCCTCCACTTCCTTGAGATTGAGATGAAGTCGATTTGGTTTTTGGTTTGCCCGTCTGGTGACACCCATGTAGCCTTGTGGATATCTTTGTGCTTGTATACACTGCCACCAATCACTAGTTCGTTGAAGGCGCAGAAGTCGGCGAAGAGTTCTCCATTTTCATTCATTTCTCCGAGAGCTTCTCTACCCATGATGAGTTCCCTTCCTGTGTTGTCTGGTCCCAGTTTGGCGTTCATGTCTCCCATTAGTATTTTAATGTCGCCAGCTGGAGTATTGTCCATTGTTGCCTGTAGTTGTCTGTAGAATTCTTCTTTCTTTTCGAGGTCTGCGTTGTTTGTGGGTGCATAACATTGTATGATTGACACTTTCCTTCCTTTGGAGTTGAATCTGGCGGTCATTATCCTGGACGAGATCGCCTCCCATTGCATCAGGGCTTTCGTTGCCGTTGGTGACATCATGATAGCCACGCCCTCGGTGTGCGTGTGGTTATCTTCTGGGTGACCGGAGTAGATCACTGACTCACCCGTTGACAATTTGGTGAGTCCACTCCCATTCCATCTGCTTTCACATATTCCCAGCACTTGGATTCCGTATCTTTTCATCTCGTTTGCGATCTGGGCAGCTTTCCCTGTCTCGTACATAGTTCGGACGTTCCATGTCTCCACACAGACTTTTTCTTTTGGTGCAAAGAGGTTCATTGTGCTGAAGTTTTTGTAGCAATTTTGTTTACAGGGTGGGGTTGCTAGCCTCACGCCTGAGAAGGAATGGTTACATTAAGATAAAGTTTAGAGAGAAGCGACCTTTTGGGTTGTTCCCCTAAAATCGGATAACAAGGGATAAAACAATCAGAACAACACCAGCAAAAGGGGCAAAAAGCGACAATAACGATACAACACAACAACATGCAATATAGTTCAGCACAGTTAACTAAAATGATACCAAAACCAGACTCACGGTCTTGGAACAACTTGAACATATAGATCCAACAATATATACTATTTTAGATATGAGTTTATGTTAAAATTTCACAAATCCAAACAGTTGGTTATAAGTATTATCTGTCAATAAGATTATGTCCACAGTTTTAGGGTTCGAAAGGTAAATAATTGTGATAATTTCCACAAACTCTTGGCATGAAATTTTACAGAAACGAGAATTTTTATAAAATTAGGGAAATGTAGCGCAGTAGTTGAAAAGTCAGTGGATACCTCAACTGAAATTACTTTAAAGGCTTCGTTATTTTTATTGCTCTTTTTCCCAAAGAATCAATTTTATTTGATGTCAGCGTGTAACAACAGAAGACAAGAGCCAGGCAACAGATCGTTTATTAAAGAAAATCAACACATATTTATAGATTTTCATGTACATATTATAGATTATTGTTGGCAGAAAAACACAGTCCTCTGATTGGTTGTTTCTCACAGAAAGTTAACCTTGCATCTATTTGTGACTGTTTTTTGAATGTCAGATCATCTATATGTTAACTGCGTCCCCTTACACAAAGTCTGCTGTGGTTGTTTGTTGAATCAGTCTTTGTTCATATTTTCCCACGACTAATATTTGAGTCATACACATTGACGTAAATAATTGTCTACCAATTTGGCTAGCAGCCTGCTCTCACCACAAGCGTATCATTTCAAGTAGATTTCAAAAAATGAGTGCTGAGTAACGAAAGAATATTAGACAACTCACTTCCTTTTCAGGATTTCAGAACAGCCCAATTACGAGTTTTAAGATATGCGGTGAGTACTCTACCACTGAACCATTATGTTGGAATCCTATGCTGCAGTTATATGTCAACATCATTAGATGAAATGAAATAGGAACATTTTTAGAAATAATCCCTTATTTAAGTGACAGCTGAGATTCAAAAGACTGACGAAAATACGTAACTAATTCCAAATAGTATCATAGAAATCTTACATTTACAATTCCTAAGGTACTTATGAAAAAGGATCGATGACAACAGAGTTGACATAAAGAGTAGTATACACTATGAATACCTATAAACTAAAGGGGTTGATCAGGGAGACTTTGAGTGTTCTAATGACTTAGTAAGTATTTAACGATCTTTTGTCGAGAAGACAATGATAGCCATTACTGAAAAATCCTTAAGAATGTCAGAATGGAAAGTAACTTACTTCATTTGAATTCGGGAAATGATATTAAGCATCTTATTCTTCATGAAGCTGTTCATCAACCTTGAATTCTGGCATGGCACATCATGAATGGATTATACATAGTTTGACATGACAAATATGAGTCCACCTACTGAAGAGTAGTCAGCCAAGAAGTACTTTAGTCGATCATTAAGATAACTTTGCACTGAAAGTAATAATATAGATGTTATTAAAATCAGTTTATGTGAATTATCATATTAAGTGGAACTGCAGTATGTTATAATTAGTTTTGAGAATGTAGCTGAGTTACCTCTATACCCAAGATAAAACAAGAAAAAATACTAAGTATAGATGAAGTTGCTAACATAAAACTTAAAATACTACTTAATTCGTAGCATACTGTTTGTTATACAGCACAAACCTTAAATGGTTGTAGATAGTCAGTAGGAAGTCAAGTGACTGAAATACTTTCCACTTTTCAAAATATTGTAGGTGAACATTGGATATCGAAAAGTTTCATATATCATTTTGCTGTACATAGTTGCTTGATCTTATCTGTATTCTTTCTTCATTCCTTCGACAAAATAATTATAGGAATTCATATGTATACAATTAATTTGTCCTTCCAAAAGATTTCAGTTAAGAAGAATTAAGGATAATTAGAGATTCTAGGGGTAAAGTACTGTGAAATATTTGAAGATATCCTTTTTGTTCACATAAATATATGAATACTCCCCTATATCTTGACAGGTATTTCATAAAGCACAGTAAGAGAAAAACAACTATGGTGGCTGTAAGAAGTTAAAGGCTAACGTCTTCAGAATTCCCTGTTACAATGTACGGCTAATAAATAGTGTGAAAATTTATCAAGAACTACATAGTTTGAGAAATATGAATTCCCTAAGCACTGGAAATAAACAAACTATGGTGTGCCTGAAAAGTGGACTTTACTAGATAACTGCAAATTAAACATTTAGTAAATTCAGAAAAAGCATGATGAAATACGGCTGTCACAAGCAATATATATCCAAGGTGATATATGAGGTACACTGGATTCTACATAATTCCACTAGCAAGTAAAGATGACTAGTTATCCTCTTCGAAATAACAAGTAGGAAGCAAGCTATCGAAGAAAAGACACTTTCATGATATTTTTCCTTCGCTATGAGACGGGAACTTACACTCTAAGAATATCATTTACTTAACAGACGAATTTCTCCCAACTATAAAATCTAAACTGATGCTAAGCATCTATATGTAAGTAAAAAACTAATAAACTGATAAAATTGGTGGATGGTGACTAGCAGTGGAATCCAGGACGCACATTTCGTCCTATTCGGGACTCGTCAGCTGGATGTACCTGCATTTCTCAGTCAGTGATGATGATCCCACCGAGGCTCGAACCTGAGACCGAACACTTCGGTCCAATCAGTCGACGAGAAAATCAAAAATTAAATTAAACTGATAAAAGTTTCAGACGTTAACATATACAGGTCTGCAGTCACGTAGTATACTTGACAATAGTATTAATACATGGTGCCAATATTTTTAACTCAGAACAACTTTGCGTTTTATTTTGTCTTCTTTCCTCGCACTCGATTTCGATTAGAGAAAGAAGGTGAAAAAATGTGTGTAAGTTTTATTGTTTCCATGGTTCAGGAGAACTAAGTTAATTTATTCAGCAGAAAATTGCAGGTTTCCTCACCATCTGAAATTAGCTCTACAGCAGACAAAAGTGACACATATATGTTACTTCAAAGACTTGGTATAATGTCACTTTTCTGAATCTTGGTAAGATAAGACACATGTTATCAATAGTTAGGAAGGTAACATATCCTCTCAGTACTCACGTGTTTTCGGAGATATAACCAGAAATTTCTTTAGCAGATTGGGATTCATTTAAAAATTTCCCTGTAATGTAGCATCTAGGATAATGCATTTACGGTGAAAGCTCTGTCTAGCGTAATTCATGATCGATCAGTTATTTAGGCTAATCAGAACACTTAATTTTCCATCAGAATGAGGCAATTTTACATATGCCATCTAGATATATCTCGCGGAAGCGTTCTTTTTCGAAAACTCTAAGAAGCAGAATTTTTTTTAAATCCTACTGATAATTTTTTTCTATCTTCTAGTTTTGGTTTGATATGCCAACAGTGTAGTCAAAGATAAATCTGTATGTTGTCTCTTTCCTCTCAGTTTTTGTATAACCCCGAACTCGAAACCAAGCATCACTCCTAAATTACATTTCAGTGTTGTGGGCAGTCCTAAAACATACCACGATCAGGACTAACTTGTGGTCGCATACAGGGCAATGCAGTGGAATGCGCTAACCAATTTTTGTTATCAGAAATGAAGTAGTAATTTGAGTCACAATGTATGCTTCGTCGAGAGTCAAATAAAGCGACATACTTAACATGCATTTTTGTCTTTACTTTGTTTCTAACATACATTAAATTAACTTTTATTCAAAAGAAAATTTATCATTAGTGACGGTGAAAATTCTGAATTTTAGCCTATTTTTGTCACCGTTGCATACATGTTTATGCCATATATGCTTGTTTCTTTTAAAGCGACAACTCAGATACATGATTGCAGGGGAATTTGAAATGCATTAGCTTATTGTTTTCCTTAAAAGAAATGTGTACTCAGTGGGAATAAGATGGTACTCGTAGAATTCTTGAAGCACACATGTTTCAGTCTCATGTAGATCATATTTTAAAGTGTCTTGTAAAAGAAGTGAATATTTTCATTTATCCTACTGTTGCGACTTAGTTATTATGAAGTAAAACTTGTTAAATCGAAATAATCAATTGAACTCTGAAATCGTGACAGTGAATAAAGGACACACTATTGATAACTAATTGAAGTGACTTCTGGTTTTTAACGTCTTTTGGTGCAAATAAAATCTGTCTGTGAGTGGTGTAACGTGTTTTTTTCTTCGTTCACGTTCCCAGTGGAACATAGGGCTTCAAGCTAGTGGCTTGAAGTTTCTGTAGCAGTGGTGATTATTTTTACAGGATGGGATTGCTAGCCTCATGCCAAACCTTTCCTCTTCACCAGCATTATTTCTGGTTTAGCGAGGTAAAGGAGTGCGTCTGTGGCCCGGGATCGAACCTAGGACCACGTGTATGGTCGGCGAGCGTCCTAACCGCTGTGCCACCGACGTACACGGTGTAATGTGTAATAAATCCACTACTATTAGCGCATCAGATTTATCCGTGGTATGTATTAATTAACAAGGAAAAATGGGATGACTAGTTCACATTCAGCCAGATTTTAGCTCGCTTAACGCACATACAAGAGCTTCATCAGGTTTCCC